CCTCTGAGAGCAGGAGGATGTACCCCGACTTTGTGGTCATGGCACCTCATCTGACAAGTCCATGTTGAAGCTCCAACTTGTGTTCTTTCTCCAAACATTTTTATGGGGCTCTTGTTTACATTTCGAGACATGCTGGCTATTATGCCACCCTTGGCTATCACTCAGGGGCTTATACCTTGCACCTGGCAAGCTGGAGCTCGATCATACACCAAGGCCGTCCTTCAAGGTCCTTAATCACACCATTACAAGTATCGTCCCTACAATCCTCCAGGAGTGTTACCTTAAACATTTTGCCAACATGGAGAAATCTCTAAGCAGATCAGAGAGAAAGCATCGAGGTACAACTAGGCGTGAGACTATGATCTCCTCAATGACAGTGGTCTTCCAGCAGTTGCCCAGACGTTCCACCCCTTGACCTTTCCCCAGTTTTCCCTCCATGCCTGATTTTCTTTCTCTTGCACTCGCTGAGCTATGTTATACGCCTTCGCATAGAGTTGTCTTAACTTGACATACAAGACACACACGAATGTCATCAACATAAAAACAGTAAATACAAATATAACCACAGGATGCCAAGCCATAGAGATAGAACTTGAGGCTCGCACACAGACAGGGTTGTCAGGTTCCTTCCACAAAGTCCTCATTGGCAGAACACTCAGAAGGACAGGTGAAGTAGTATCCCCACCACCATTTCAGCCCCTCCCCTTCTCGGGATCAAATAGGAAGGAAAACAAACACAAAATGATATCACACACCAATAATCTTATTAATCGTGAAAACATGCGCACGGGCCTCGATACCAAGAGGCTGCAGAACCAACTACCTTCAGGGCATTACTCCTGAAACAGCTGCCTTGTTGGAAAACTATTACAGGCTCCACAACGAAGACCCATTTAGTGAGCAAACCCTTCAGGCAGCGCAGAGCATTGTGTCCTCCATCTCTGAAGCCAAGAAAGAACAGTGGATCAAGCTGATCACAGAGGTCGACATGGGCAGGAGCAGCCAGAAGGCGTGGAGGCTGCTAAGACGGCTGAGCAATGACCCCTCACAAACTAATACCCATGCCAACATAAAGGCAGATCAGATAGCACACCAACTCTTGAAGAATGGGAAACCCAACCTTGCCACCAAAGTAGGAAAGAAACCAATAGCCAGACAACCAGATACTGAGAAAAACAACCTTTACCAACTGGGGAGTCAGAATGTTTCAGGCTGGAAAAATGTAAGGCGCCTTGTGTTGACTTCCTTCTTAATGTAAGGAACCTTGTAAACATTTCCTTAATTTAAAGAGCCATTGTCTCTGATAATGTAAACACATTGTTTTTCACCAAAAGTTCAAAAGTTAATCGTTTGTCTCTGGTCATCAATGTTAGCAGTTCAGCAACTTTGTCAGTGCTCCCAATTTCATTAATTTTACTTGGTTTTCCTTTCCATTGCTGGAAGATTTGGTGTTTTAACACTTTGGTTTTTAAAGAAGGAATTATAAGCAGACAGCAACTGTAATGCACACCTTTTTTTGGCCAAATTACAAAGAGCACTATTTGCTGCTGCACATTACATTCGGCAGCAAATATTTTTTGTTTCAGGTTTTGAAAATTGAGGTGCAATGAGGTTAATAATAATAATAATAATAATAATAATAATAATGAAACACTTTATTTATACCCGCTACCATCTCCCCAAGGGACTCTATGCGGCTTACATGAGGCCGAGCCCAAAATACAACAATACAAGCAATAACAATAACAATAGCAATACAAGCAATTTAAAACAAAAACAATAAAACAATAACATAAACATTATCAATAAGACAACACATTTTAAAATCTATGGGTAGGCCAAATGTAATTAAAATTAAAAATAATGCTGGACATGGGCGAAAAAGTGATGGGGCGGTTTGTGGAAACATACAAGCAGACTTAAAACAATATCAAGTGCTTTGGAGGACAAAGTGCTATGGGAACATTATTCTGGGAAGGCACACTGGAACAACCACATCTTCAAGCTCCTCTTAAAGACTGCCAAGGTTGGGGCATGCCTGATGTCCTTAGGAAGAGAGTTCCAGAGTCGAGGGGCCACCACCGAAAAGGCCCTCTCTCTCGTCCCCACCAATCGTGCTTGCGATACAGGTGGGAGCGTGAGCAGGGCCTCTCCAGATGATTGAAGAGATCGTGTGGGTTCATATACAGAGATGCGGTCACGAAGGTATAGTAAAAAGTATAGTCTTTATCATTTGGATTTTGAGATCTCCATATATCTTTGAGTGTGTATTCTTTTGCCATTTTCCAGAAGCTGGATAGTAATTCACCAATTTCCTCTGGTCCTCTCTGATTTGTTTTCCTATCCAGCTTATTATTTACTACTGCACTGAAGTCTCCAAGAGGAATGGTATCGGTTATTTATTTATATATTTTGTATCAAAGGCATTGCATACATTAATATAAAACTAATAAAAATAGAAGGTGCACAGGCGGCTAAATATCTTTTGACCAAAAACAGGCAACAGCAATAGCATTGTCTGCCGCCTCCAACAATTCCTCCTCTGTACATGAGGCAGGGCACAGCGGACAAGCACACAGATGCGGAGTTGTCTGTTCTGCTCCACAGTCACACAAGGCGTGGGATTCTTTCTCCAAGATCTTTTTCACATGGAGTGTTGTCAAGCCATCTGTACATGAGGCAGGGCACAGCGGACAAGCACACAGATGCGGAGTTGTCTGTTCTGCTCCACAGTCACACAAGGCGTGGGATTCTTTCTCCAAGATCTTTTTCACATGGAGTGTTGTCAAGCCAGGCACCCTCCATCCTGTATCTTTGTATTTCATTTTTTTCTGCCTCAGTGTAGTATCCTTCATTTGTCCTGTTGACATTCATTGTGTTCGTTTTGGCCAATCAGCTCTCTAATCTTTTAAGGTCATTTTGATACTGATCCTGTCCTGTGGAGTATTAGCTCTCCCTCCTAATTTGGTGTCACTGGCAAGCTTGATAAGCATGCCCTCTAAACCTTCATCTAAGTCATTAATAAAGATGTTGAATAGTACTGGCCCCAGTACAGGACCCTGCGGCACTCCACTAATCATTTCTTTCCAAGATAAAGAGGAACAATTGGGAAGCACCCTTTGAGTTTGGTCGCTTAACCAATTACAGATCCACCTAATAGTAGCCTTGCCTAGCCCACATTTGACTAGTTTGCTTGCAAGAAGGTCATGGGGGACTTTGTCGAAGGCCTTACTGAAATCAAGTCATACCACATTCACAGTATTCCCTGCATCAACCAAGCTTGTAACTCTATTGAAAAAAGAGGTAAGATTAGTCTGGCATGACTTGTTTTTGAGAAATCCATCTTGACTTTTAGTAATCACGGCATTCCTTTCTAAGTGATTGCAGACTGCTGTTGTGGCTGAGCTAGTTTCTGACGATGAGGATGATGGGATTCAGATTCCTGTTGGGTTTCAGCTTCCTGGCTCTTTGTCTGTGCCTCAAATCTCTGAGCCTGCTTCCGAGGCTCTCACAGACAGTGCAGTGTCAACACAGCTGTTTTCACCAGAAAGGAATTTTAACGAAGGGAATAGCGAGCAGGTGCCTTCCCACGATGATACCGAAAGTGTAGATAAGAATTTGACCCGAGAAGCTCGCCTTGATCTCCGGGTCAGGCGGAGTTTGCGTCTGGCAAGCAGACGGGAGGCTAGCTCGGTGCGAGGTCATCGCAATGCTTTTATGATGCTGAGAGCCTAATGTTTTGATGTTAGAAAGGTATTTAGGCCTCCTGGAAACTCTGTGAAAGCATCAGTTCAACGTAGCTTATTAGCCTGAAAGCTTCATGGAATAACCTTAGCCTGGAAAGCAGTACACTTGGGATTTCTTGCATTGTGATTCTTGGGGCAAATGTTTCATTGCTTGTATCTGGGACTCTGGTTTGAACTTTGCCAATAGGATTATGTCTCCTGCTTTTACCTGAAGATCTTTGGAACTGTATTCTGCATTTAACCTTAATCTCTGGGACTTTGCAATGCTTATTCTTTATTTTGACTTGGATTTTTTCTCAATAAACTGTAAAACTACAGCTCTTGCATGGTGGTGTTTAGAAGCAAGGTGAAGCCTACTCTGAGTTGCAACAGTTTGAACTGACCACCAAATAAAGTCATTGCTATCTTCAGCCACCATGAATCTAGCAGACATGCAAACGCTGCAACAACAGGTACAGACTCTTCAACAGCAGATGGCAGCTATGGCAGCGGCAGCTCCTGCAGCTCCAGTAGTAAAAACCCCTATGGTCTTGCCATCTAAGTTCTCTGGAGACCGCCAGCGCGTGAAGGACTTCATGGGGCAATGGGATGCCTATTTCTGTGTACGTACTGCAGAGTTTCTCAATGAAGAGGCCAAAGTCGGCTTCGTGTACAGTCTGCTGGAGGGATTGGCACTTTCCTGGGCCATGGCTCTGCTAGAGGCTAAATCCCCTGCGTGTAACACGGTCAAAGCCTTTATGGATGAAATGCACACCGTTTGGGGAGGCCATGTGAACCGTGAGGCGGCCGATCGTAAGTCGCGAGCTTTGATGCAAAAAGAGGGGCGGTTGGCCGAATACATTTCCGAGTTTCGGGTTTTACAATGGGAACTTACAATGAGTCGCCTTATCAGGCTGAAAAATGCGGTATAGAAATAAAGCAAATAAATAAATAAATAAATAAATAACTTGCCTGGAATGATGCTGCCTACATGAGTCACTTCAAGGCAGGGCTCACGCGGGACATGCAGTTGGAGGTGGCTCGTTCTCCCACCCAGGCCAACTTGGAGGAGTTGATGACTCTGTGTGTCTGGCTGGATGGCACCCTTGTGACTCAGTGGCAAATCCTCTCGACTCCCCGGCAAGCCAGCCGGGTGGGGTCTGACTCCGGAGGGCTGTGACACTCAGGACCGGTGACATTGCAGGTGTCCGACATCAAGGAGCCTATGCAGTTGGGCTTGATGCGCCCCAAAATTGATGCTGCGGAAAAGGCGAGATGGTAGCGGCTGAATTTGTGTTCGTACTGTGGGGCGAGTGGCCATTTTTCTCAGGAATGTCTGGAGAAGAGGAAGGCGAGTCCCCGGCTGGCGGGGGCTTCCGGCGCAGTGGAGCCCGCGGCGGACCGGAGCGCTGGTGAGGGTCTGCCAGAAAAGTCGGCGGGGAAAGGCAACGACCGAATTTAGCTGGGTTCACTAACTCGGTCACCCCCACCTCCCAAGCCCGCAACTGGGATGTTGTTTTTCATTTTGGTCTCCTTCTGCACGGCGCAGAAGACTCCAACGGCGGCTTATGCCTTGGTGGACTGTGGAGCAACCAACAATTTTATTGACCATAATTTTGTGGAGTTCCTTGGATTACAGTGCTGGGACCTCCAGCCCCCTCGGGATGTACAAAACTTTAATGGGTGGTTATTGAAAATGAGACCGGTGGCCCATTATACTGCGCCGGTTCAGATGAGGACCATGTGAAGGAGATCTCCTTTTTGATTACTGAGCTTCCCCACCCAGTGGTGCTGGGGATCCCATGGTTGGCAACACACAACCTGACCATCTTGTGGTCTCAGCAAGCACTCCAGTTTACTTTGGCATTTTGTAATGAACATTGTGACCTGAGGCAGGGGAGTCGGGTCCCAGAAGTCGCAGCTCAAGCCACGGACATTTTGCCCTCTAAATACCAGGAGTTCTGGGATGTATTCAGTGAGAAAGAGGCAGAGAGACTACCCCCACACCGGCCTTACGACTGCGCGATTGACCTGGTGCTGGGCGCCCCAATTCCGCGTGGACGTTTGTATTCTCTCTCGGAACCAGAGCTGGCCGCCCTCTGGGAGTTTTTGGATACCAATCTACGCAATGGGTTCATTCACCCATCGCAGTTGCCGGCTGGGGCTCCAGTTCTGTTTGTCAAGAAAAAGTCAGGCGAGTTGCGGCTGTGCAACAACTACTGGGCTTTGAACAACATCACGATCAAGAACCGTTATCCTCTGCCTTTGATTCCAGATCTCCTTGACCGGCTAAGAGTCTTTACCAAATTAGACTTGCGGGGAGCTTGCAACTTTATTGCGCATACGAGAGGGGACGCATGGAAGTCGGCTTTCCAGACACGCTTTGGGAGTTTCAAGTACCGCGCCATGCCTTTTGGGTTCTGTAACGCTTCCAACACTTTGTCAATGACGTCTTCCGTGAATTTTGGGATCGCTTCTTGGTCATCTACCTGGACAATTTTTGTCAAATCAACGGGAGGACGACCAGCAAGTGTGTGCGGTGCTCCAGCACCTACGGGATCATGGACTCTACGCCAAGCTAGAAAAGTGTGCCTTTGATCTGAAGGAGGTAGATTTTTTGGGACATCGTATCTCCGCAAAGGGGATTTTCCATGGACCCAACCAAGGTCTTGGCGGTGTTGGAATGGAAGTCTCCTATCATAGAATCATAGAATCAAAGAGACCTCATGGGCCATCCAGTCCAACCCCCTGCCAAGAAGCAGGAATATTGCATTCAAATCACCCCTGACAGATGGCCATTCAGCCCCTGTTTAAAAGCTTCCAAAGAAGGAGCCTCCACCACACTCCGGGGCAGAGAGTTCCACTGCTGAACGGCTCTCACAGTCAGGAAGTTTTTCCTCATGTTCCTATGAGCAAGAAAGATGTGCAACATTTCATGGGTTTTGCCAACTACTATCGCAAGTTCATCCCTGATTTTGCCCATTGGGCTGACCCCATCACCCAGTGTTTGAGAGGCAAAAGGCCGTTCCAATGGACTGAGGAGGCCGAAGGAGGCTTTCAGAAGCTCAATACACTTTTCACTTCTCAGCCAATCCTGCAACATCCCGACTCAAACACGTTGTTTGTGGTGCAGGCCGACGCGTCGGATGTGGCGGTCGGGGCAGTGTTGCTGCAGCCCATGGGCGATCACCTGCAACCCTGTGCGTATTTCTCTCGGGAATTGACTGTGCCGGAATGGAATTACACTATCTGGGGAAAAGAGCTCTTGGCCATCAAAGCATTGTTTTGACTTGGATTTTTTCCTCAATAAACTGTAAAACTACAGCTCTTGTGTGGTGGTGTTTAGAAGCAAGGTGAAGCCTACTCTGAGTTGCAACAACTGCCTTCTTCTGCTCCAGAATCTTTCCTGGTCTTATTTATTTATTTATTTATTTATTTACAGTATTTATATTCCACCCTTCTCACCCTGCAGGGGACTCAGGGCGGATTACAATGTACACATACATGGCAAACATTCAATGCCATAGACACACAACACATATAGACAGACAGTCAGAGGCTATTTAACATTCCAATTTTCTGGCCACCAGGGGAGCTGTTGCTTCACCGTCCATCTGCGACACTGATGAAGTACTTCTGCATTCCCCGCGCATGCTTTGCTGGATATTTTTATGGCCTCGTAAATTTGTTAGATTAGCCTCCCCACATGTAGGTGGTACCTAAATTTCCTATTTGACAGATGCAACTGCCTTTCAGGTTGCAAAGGTCGACAACAAGCCATACACTCTGACCCGGGCTGGTTTTGAACTCATTACCTTTTGGTCAGTAGTGTTCTTAATGCAGCTGACACCCAGCCAGCTGTGCCACAGTCCCAGTAGTCCTGATGACAGCCTGACTGGATGGTAATTGTTTGGGTCCTCTTTTTTCTCTTCTTGTAAATAGGGACAACATCTGCTGGGACTTCTTCTGTTCTCAGAGAATTCCCAAAGATTATTGTCATTGGATCTGAAATTACTTCTGTTAGTTCCTTCAATACTCTTGGATGTAGTTCATCTGGCCCTGGAGACTTGAATTTATTTAGAGTAGCCAGGTATTCCTGGACTACGTCTTTACTTATTTTGGGTTGCATTTCCCCTATTACCTCATCCGTTCCGTATTGCTCAGGCTGAACTCCAATCTCCTTTCTTTTGGGAGAAGCCTGAGGCAAATAAGGTGTTGAGCAGCTCTGCCTTTTCCCTATCCCTGTTAGCATTTCACCACCTTCTCCTTACAAGAGGCCCTACCATTTCTTTTTCTTGCTTTTTCTACTGACATAACCAAAGAACCCTGTTTTATTGGTTTTAATCTCTCTGGCAAGCCTGAGTTCATTGTGTGCCTTAACCTAACAAACCTTTTACCTACAGGAGTTGGTTATTTGTTTGAATTCCTCTATGGTGATTTCCACTCTTTTTCCATTTCTTGTACATGTCTCTTTCAGATCTTAGCTCAGTTAAAAGTTCTTTGGACATCCACTCAGGTTGTTTTACATTTCTCCTGTTTTTTTCTTGCTGGCACTGTTTGCAATTGCACCTTCAGTATCTCATTTTTAAGAATGTCCCATCCATAATGGTCATGGAATCACACTCATTATTTCCTTAGACAGACAAAAGATAGCATTCTCTATGACTCCCCTCTCCGACTGATCACTTAATGCACCTGTAGACGCCTATTGGCTTCTCACATGTTTTGTAATCACAGGCATTAATGGAAGCGAGGTGGTTAGTTTGCTTCTTCTGCTTGTGCATTCATTTTAACCTGGGGAAACACGACACCTCTGGTTTCAATCTGCTCCCTACATTCCCAGAACTGGCCTCAGTTCAGTGTTCCATTGATGTACTAATAGTACAAGTTAGTTCCATGACTGGTTCAGATTTCCCCCCACTAATGACTACTTTTTCTCTCTCAGATTGTGACGGCGAGACTCTGTGAGAAAAGATAGCACTCTCAACATTAGAGAAAAGAGACCAGCACACAGAGACTGAAAGAAACAACCCCATAGAGGAAGTGTGCTTCTGGGAGAAGAGATGGAACACTCACCATCAGAGGAAAGAGAAAAGAGACCAGCACACACAGACTTTGTAAGAAACAATCCCATAGGAGGGAGTGTGTTTTTGGGAGAAAAGGTGGAACACTCAACATCAGAGGAGAGAGAAAAGAGACCAACATACAGAGACTTTGAAAGAAACAACCCCATAGAAGGAAGTGTGCTTCTGGGAGAAGAGATGGAACACTCACCATCAGAGGGAAGAGAAAAGAGGCCAACACACACAGTCTTTGAAAGAAACAACCCCTTAGAAGGAAGTGTGCATCTGGGTGAAAGGATGGAACACTCACCATCAGAGGGAAGAGAAAAGAGACCAGCACACACATACTTTGTAAGAAACAATCCCATAGGAGAGAGTATGTTTTTGGGAGAAAAGGTGGAACACTCAACATCAGAGGGAAGAGAAAAGAGACCAACACACAGAGACTTTGAAAGAAACAACCCCATAGGAGAGAGTATGTTTTTGGGAGAAAAGGTGGAACACTCAACATCAGAGGAGAGAGAAAAGAGACCAACACACAGAGACTTTGAAAGAAACAACCCCATAGAAGGAAGCGTGCTTCTGGGAGAAGAGATGGAACACTCACCATCAGAGAGAAGAGAAAAGAGACCAGCACACACAGACTTCGTAAGAAACAACCCCTTAGAAGGAAGTGTGCATCTGGGTGAAAGGATGGAACACTCACCATCAGAGGGAAGAGAAAAGAGACCAGCACACACAGAATTCCTAAGAAACAACCCCATAGAAGGAAGTGTGCTTTTGGGAGAAAAGGTGGAACACTCAACATTGGAGGAGAGAGAAAAGAGACCAGCACACACAGTCTTTGAAAGAAACAACCCCTTAGAAGGAAGTGTGCATCTGGGTGAAAGGATGGAACACTCGCCTTCAGAGGGAAGAGAAAAGAGACCAGCACACACAGACTTCATAAGAAACAATCCCATAGGAGGGAGTGTTCTTTTGGGAGAAAAGGTGGAACACTCACCATCAGAGGGAAGAGAAAAGAGACCAGCACACACAGACTTCCTAAGAAACAACCCCATAGAAGGAAGTGTCCTTTTGGGAGAAAAGGTGGAACACTCAACATCAGAAGAAAGAGGAAAGAGACCAGCACACACACTCTTTGAAAGAAACAACCCCTTAGAAGGAAGCAACCCCCCAGTGTTTGCTCTCCCTTTGAAAAAGGAAGCAAACCCATCTTCCCTACCTAAGTACCACCTAGGAAAAGAGAACATAAGTGTCCCCAACAAAGTCATCATGGTGATTGGAGCAACAGGGTCTGGGAAGACCACCCTCATCAATGGGATGGTCAACTACATCCTGGGCGTCCAATGGGAAGATGAATTCCGATTCAAACTCATTCATGAAGAGACCAATCAGAGCCAAGCTGAAAGCCAGACCTCTAAGGTAACGGCTTACGTGGTGAATTATCAAGAGGGCTTCAAAATTCCTTATTCTCTCACCATTATTGACACTCCAGGGTTTGGGGACACAAGAGGAATCGAGCATGACAGATTGATCACAGAGAAGATCAGGAAGTTCTTCTCTAATCGAGGAGGCATAGATCACATTGACTCCGTCTGCTTTGTAGTCCAGGCCTCCTTGGCTCGCTTAACTAAGACCCAGAAATACATATTCGACTCAGTCCTCTCCATTTTTGGGAGAGACATAAAGGACAACATCCAAGTCCTGGTCACCTTTGCAGATGGACAGACCCCTCCTGTAATAGAAGCCATTAAGGAAGCTAATGTGCCATGTGCCAAAGAGGCCAGCCGGACAGCCGTCCACTTTAAATTCAACAATTCTGCGCTTTTTGCCAGCAATGCTGGCGAGTGTGCAGAAAGCCTTTGTTTTGATCAAATGTTTTGGGAAATGGGTCAAAAGAGCATGAAGACCTTCTTTGACTCCCTGAACAACTTGGAAACTAGAAGTATAACTCTGACAAAGGAAGTCCTGAGAGAACGGAAGGAACTGGAAACTTTCCTGGTGGGTCTGAAGGAACAAATCAAAGTTGCCTTAGTGAAAGTAGAAGAACTAGAGACATTGCAGAAATCTGTGGATCAGCACAAAGCAGACATAGAGGCCAATAAATACTTTGAGTATGAAATAGAAGAAGTCGAATTCACCAAGAAAGAGATTGAGGATTGTGCAACCAATTGCAGGAAGTGTAAGTCCACTTGCCACTATCCCTGTTGGGATACAGGAAACCATTTTAATCGCTTTTGTACAGCTATAAGTTTTTTTTCAGGCACATGTAATGTGTGTTCTGACCATTGTTCAGTGGAAAATCATGCCCAAGAAAAATTCAAGTATGACAGAAAAACCATAAAAAAGAAGATGACCTATAATGACTTGAAAGCAAGGTTTGGAAACGATTTGAGTAAAATCACCTCTGAGAAGGAAAAGGAAATAGAAATCTTAAGCAGACTTCTTAAGAAAGTGTCCCAAAGCCACCGGCGCCTGCAGGAAATCTCCCTGAATCCCAGTCCCCTTACCACTCAGGAGTACATCAGCCTCCTCCTCCAAGCAAAAGGGCAGGAAATCAAAGACTGTGCAGGTGGATCTGAGCTGATGAAAGGCTTGCCAGTGACATCCCCCGCTGCCCCAAGGAGAGCACCTGCCAGAAGAAAGGGACGAAGAAGGAAGTGACTGACCATCCACTTCCAAGCCAATGACGGCATCACGACCCCTGTGGGCTCACCTCTCTTGGGCTGTTGTGTGCCTTACAGTTATTTCTGAGTTCCAGTGACTCAGTCACAGGGTTTTCTTGGCAAGGCTTGTGCTTGGGGTGGGGGTGGGGGTGCAACCACTGCTTTCCTCTGAGGCAGAGAGAGCATGACTCGCCCAAGTTCACTCAGTGTGTTTCCATGGCTGAGCAGGGATTCAAACCCTGGTCGTAGTTCAGCGCTCAAACCACTACACTACATTAGCTTTGATTCTTTACTTATTCCTTCCTCCATATTTTTGAAGAAAAGTAACTCAGGCAATTACATTTTTACAGATGTTGGAAATTAGAAATCTCTTTACTATCTGTCTTTTAGTTTCCTGGTAAACTAATTGTTAATACAAATACTGCTTAGATTAAACCATACAGCTAATTTAAGCTTAGATCTAAGCATGAGCTGTAATTAGTAGACCCCTTAAATCAATGGGATTTACATAAGGTTTGACTTGATGTAATGGGTCTATTTTAGTTGGAACTCTAGTCTCTGGATTTAGACCTATTTTCCCTGAAATTGAGGCTGCTTGCAGCACCATCCTGTTTTTTTGATTCACTCCATTTTTAAAAAGCGAGCCAGCATTGTGCACTGGTTTGATCATTGAATGAAGTCTCTGGAAGCCAGGGTTCAAATCCCTGCTCCACCACGGAAACTCATGTCATACTTTCTCAGCCTCAGAGGAAGGCACAGACAAAGACCCGTGGACAAATCTTGCCAAGAAAATCCTGTGATAGTCTTGCCTTGTAGTCAATGCAAATCAGAAACAACTCAAAGGTACACAGCAACTCTTCTATGCGATTTTCTGGTTCCTACCAAAAGGGTTCTAATCTTCCTGTTCTTGGGCAGAGAAACAGGCAACCAGCACAGAACACTGGGATCAGTCCTTTATCATTTTCTTCAGCACTTATTCCACAAAGAACTTGGTTTGCATCCTGGTCCAGTGTCCACTGTGAGTAGGCAATAGTGCAAATCCAAAATGTCACCCCTTTTCTTATAAGCCCCTCTCCCCAATAGTTTCCTAACATGGAGATTTGGGGGAAGTTGAATACAAACATGTTTAACAAATCATTCAGGTTCAGCCAACATCACAGAAGCTGACCTTCCTTTCAGACCTCTCTGACGTCTGTCTGAGGCATCCTAACACACTATTAGGCACAAGACTTGTCTAAATGTGAATAGCAAGCCCTCCACCCCATTACATAAGTACATGCTTTGGGATTGTAGTGAATTCCTCAAGCAGAGCAACTGCTGTGCCAGGCAGAAGCTGAACAGCCAACTGCAACCTGCATGAGAGAAGGGCTTGCAATCATCCAAACTGGAAGTGGGCATAAACAGGATGTGGCGAAGTTCCTGTAGAGTGGCATGCGCTCTACAGGAACTTCAGGGTGGGGGGTGGTTCTGCAGGTAGGGGGGGGGGGCCATAGAGGTGGTGATGGGGAGGGGGAGATATGGGAAAAGGAGAACAAATTACCCAATTCGGCCCAAATATTGTGAGAGTTCATTGGCAATTCCAAAATATTCTGTTAATATGGTACAACAACAAATTTGGCCCAAAATTCATATAAGAACATTGGCAACTCCAAAATATCATCAAGATATAAGACAACAACTAATCCAGCCCAAAATTTGTGAAAGAACATTGGCAATTCCAAAACATTCTCCCAACATGGTACAGCTGAGATGCCAGGATGGCAGTCCCTCTAGGTTTAGAGTGGTGCTGTTTAATTCCAGGTCAGTGAATGGAAAAACATCTATCATCCAAGATCTAATTAGTGAAGAACAAGCTGGCCTGGCCTGTATAACAGAGACCTGGTTGGATGAGATGGGAGGGGTTAACCTCTCTCAGCCCTGTCCACCAGGTTACTCTGTGCAGTACCAATCGAGACCTTGAGGGCGGGGAGGTGGAGTCGCAGTAGTCTATAAGGATACTATCTCCCTGACCAGGTGCCCCATCCCACAGTCAACCTCTTTTGAATGTGTTGGCATTAGGGTAGGTGACCGGGACAGGATAGGGATACTGTTAGTGTACCGACCACCCCTTGGCACTACAGTCTCCTTACCTGAGCTAGCTGGAGTGGTCTCGGACATGGCATTGGAGTCTCACCAACTTTTAGTCTTGGGGGACTTCAATGTTCATGCTGAGACCTCTCTATCTGAGCAGCTCAGGACTTCATGGCCACCATGGCAACCATGGGCCTGTCCCAATTAGTATCTGGTCCCACTCATAGTGCTGGTCACACACTAGACCTGGTTTTCTGTCAGGGATGAGATGATGGTGGTGGGGTGGAGGAGCTGACCATCGCTCCTTTGCCATGGACTGACCACTACCTGATCAGGTTTAGACTTACTGCGTCTCTTAACCTTCGCAGGGGTGGTGGACCTATTAAAATGGTCCAACCCAGGTGACTTATGGATCCGAATGGATTCCTGACGGCTCTTGGGGATTTTCCCGCCTCATTGGCAGGTGACTCTGTTGATACCTTGGCCTCCTGCTGGAATAGTGAGATGACCAAGGCAATCAACACAATCACCCCGGAATGCCCCCTCTCAAGTAACCGAGCTAAACCAGCCCCTTGGTTTACTGAGGAGCTGGCAGCGATGAAGCGAAAGAAGAGGTGGCTAGAGCACGTGTGGCAGGAAGAAGTCCAAATCAGCGCAAACACGTCTAGACACCTTCTTAAGGTCCTATGACACGGCAATAAAGGCGGCACAGAAGTCATTTCTTGCGGCCAATATTGCGTCTGCAAAGAACTGTCCGGCCGAGCTATTCCGAGTCCTCAGAGGGCTGTTAAATCCGCTGAAAAGCGAGATCCCTGATGACTCGGTGGCTCGCTGTGAAGCATTTTCTCAGTTCTTTGCAGATAAAGTTGTGCTGATTCGTTCCGAGTTCAATGCCACATTTACAGCAGTCTCTGAGGATGTGACGAGAGCACCTGCTTGTCCGGTTTTATTGGATTCATTTCAATTGGTTCAGCTTGAGGATGTGGACAGGATCCTTGGAGAGGTGAGACCTACCACATGCATCCTAGACCCCTGCCCATCCTGGCTGATAAAAGAAGCCAGAGGGGGTTTGGCAGAGTGGGTAAAGGTGGTGGTTAATGCCTCCTTACAGGAGGGCAAATTTCCAGCCAGATTAAAACAAGCTGTTATAAAACCGCTGTTGAAAAAACCATCACTGGACCCCACCCAATTAGTCAACTTCCGGCCAGTTTCCAATCTCCCCTATTTGGGCAAAGTCGTGGAATGTGTGGTGGCTTCACAACTCCAGGGGTTTCTGGTAGACACTGATTATCTAAATCCATCACAGTCTGGCTTTAGGCCGGGACATGGAACTGAGACAGCCTTGGTCGCTTTGGTAGATGATCTTTGCCAGGAGCTTGACAGGGGGAGTGTGTCCCTGTTAGTTCTGCTGGACCTCTCAGTGGCCTTGGTATCCTTCTGGAACGCCTCAAGGATATGGGACTTGGGGGTACTATCTTGAGGGACAGTCCCAGAAGGTGTTATTGGGTGACACCTGTTCGACCCCACAACCATTGTCGTGTGGAGTCCCACAGGGTTCAATTCTGTCCCCTATGTTGTTTAACATATACATGAAGCTGCTGGGAGAGATCATCCGGAGTTTCGGAATGAGGTGTTATCTCTATGCGGATGACGTCCAAATCTGTCACTCCTTCCCACCTGTTACCAAGGAGGCTGTCGGAACCTTGAACCGGTGCTTGGCTGCTGTGTCAGACTGGATGAGAGCTAACAAATTGAAATTGAATCCAGACAAGTCAGAGGTCCTACGTCAGTCGTAAGGCCGAACAGGGCATAGGGTTACAGCCTGTGTTGGATGGGGTTACACTCCCCCTGAAGACGCAGGTTGCAGCTTGGGTGTGATCCTGGACTCATAGCTGAGCCTGGAACCCCAGGTTTCAGCAGTGACCGGGGGAGCATTCGCACAGTTAAAACTTGTGTGCCAGCTGCACCCGTACCTTGGGAAGTCTGATCTGGCCACAGTGGTCCGCGCTCTTGTTACATCCTGAATAGATTACTGCAATGCGCTCTATGTGGGGTTGCCTTTGAAGACTGTTCGGAAATTGCAATTAGTCCAATGGGCGGCAGCTAGATTACTCACCGGAGCGTCATACAGGGAGCACACCACCCCCCTGCTGTGCCAGCTCCACTGGCTGCTGATCCAATTCCGAGCACAAGTGCTGGTCTTGATCTATAAAACCCTATACGGCTCCGGTCCAGTGTACCTGTCCGAACGTATCTCCTTCTATGTCCCACCTCAGAGCTTAAGATTGTCTGGGGAGGCCCTGCTCTCGGCCCCACCTTTGTCTCAAACATGCTTGGCGGGGACGAGGGACAGGGCCTTCTCGGTGGTGGCCCCCCGCCTGTGGAATTTGCTCCCCGGAAATTAGGTCATCCTCATCCCTCCTCACCTTTAGAAAAAAGGTTAAAATGTGGCTGTGGGACCAGGCCTTCAGGCAATCAGGTTAAATCAGGTTTAATAACGTTGACTATGGCATGGAAGAGGATTTGGATAAGTTAAGCGGAGTAATCATTAGTAGATGGCTAGCTAAACAGCCACCAGACGGGCAATAGCTAATCAGAGTGTAAGTATACTGTTTTAATCTTTATTTATTAATGTTCATGTTTAATTGTTATATTTGTTATTCTGTATTTTATGATGCGGCATTGAATTATTGCCAATTGTAAGCCGCCCTGAGTCCCCCCAGGGGTTGAGAAGGACAGGGTAAACATGTTCTAAATAAATAAATAAATAAATAAATAAATAAATAAATAAATAAATGCAGTCTAGCTATCATAGAATCATAGAATCAAAGAGATGGAAGAGACCTCATGGGCCATCCAGTCCAACCCCATTCTGCCAAGAAGCAGGAATATTGCATTCAAATCAGCTTGCTCCCTCTTCCCTGTGGC